CCTCTCCTTCGCTTGGTTACAGCCTGCCTCCTTTTTCCCATGGTTCTGAAGTTACTGTCTCTGCCATATCCTCTCATCTGTTTGCTTTCCTTCCACGCCCTGCTGCCCACATCACTCTCAGATGTTTCCTTACTTATTGCTACAGTAAAATTCTCACAACGCTCCCTTCTTCGTTATCCGGTTACCCTCTTTAACCTCCAACTCTTTCCTCCTCTCTCCCCTTTCCTAGCTCTGACATCCTCCCACTGTGCCTTGAGAACTTCCCTGAATGACTACAGACTTCACTACATACCCAACTTCCTTTCAAGCACCGTCCCTTCCTTTTGCTTTGACCAGATCCTCCTCGCAGAGACCATTTATCCAGTTAGTGACAACACTTCCTTATCCCTCTGCATCCAGCTCTCCTCAGGGTGATGTCTTATCCCTCTGCATCCAGCTCTCCTCAGGGTGATGATCCCTTACTCCTGAGTGCTTCCTTCCTTCCTGCTTTGCTATTCCCACCGTCTCTGTCTCCCTCAGTCTCGTAACCTACACTCACCACCAAATGCCCTCAAAAAGACTTCAACATCTGAGTTGTCTTCGCCCCTGGTAGCCCCAGCGAGGTTATAACTGCACCCCAGCCACACAGCTCCTCAGGACAATGAACCCTACATTCCTCTGCCTTCCACCCCTAGAGCCACAGCTGAAATCTGCTATCATCTGGAATGATCACCACCCAAACCGTGGAGTCTCCCTTTCTTACCTGCTCTCCTATGCGTGTGTTTGTTTTCTGAACTTTAGTCAAATCTCCTTCTCCTAAAACTGCTTTTCTGTGATGTCACTGGAACCTGAAATCCACTGATCTTTCTCTTTCTCCCCTGCATCCATTACAATTAAAAAACTTCCATCTGGATAGTAAATTGTCCAATTTCCTCTTGCTCTGCCCTTCGGCAACACTGGACTTTTTTCCTCCTCCCTCTTCATGGCTTCCGCTACCCCAGCTAACACTCTGAGACTGATTATTACTGTCCTTTGCTGGACCACCTTACTTTATCTAAATATTGGGAGTGGAAATTTCTCAGGGTTTCATCATTGAACCGGTTTTCCTGGTATCATTCCTAGGCATTTCAATCATCACATGATTTAATTTGTCAGCTACGTGTTTATCACTCCAAGGGTAGGGTGGGAGCTCATGTAGTGGGAGGAGGGTAGTAGGAGCTGGGTGATCCTCAGATTTTCCCTGCAGTCCCTTTTCAGTACATGGTCCTGTTACCCTTTCTTCTGTCTCACAGGTTGGTTCTCCATTTGCCTAGAATGTTCTTAACCAGTTCTGGCCCCTTAACTTTGCTGAGTGTTGAGTTCCTACAAGTTTCCCTTACTGTTCAAACTTTAGTCAGCACTCTTTGTTCTAGTCCCTAAGCACTGTGTACTTCTGTGATGAATTTTCACTATTGCTTAATGGATCCTTCTCTGAGTAACAACAAACCCCTGAAAGTAAGGATTGTACCTGCTGTATTCACTCAGTTTTTAATCTCAGTGTTTTAAATAACTATATTACAATTGGATAAATTCACACATCAGATACAGACTCCATTTTAAAGACTGTGGTGAGTTAATACAGAGGCTGTTACATAGATGCATCAGTTCTTTTCTCTTCCATTTCTTTTTCCAAACATTCAATATAGTTCATTTAGCTCATATCCAAGAAACATTCCTAACAGTACTGTTTACCATACAGCTGAAAAGCACAAATGTTCTAACTTATTTTATCCATTAAGATATATATTTCAAATCCTGTGCTTTCAGATAAACTCATTATATGCAGTCACTGCCAGCATTGGTGATTGTATGGGGTCCCATACATTCAACTTAGATTGGTTAACCATTCATAAACTTAT